ATTTTTCCGCACGTTTATACACTGAAAGTTTTCCTTACATTCAAAATTACAATGAAAACTTAATAAAGAAGCTTTGTGTCACTTTGCCACATCAACAGCTGCAATGTCTTCTTGCTGTATTGGGTCCAACTTTTGAAGTAAGGCAGCAACAATACTACATGATATCAAGCTTAAGATTTTCAAAGCAAACAGAGAAACTAATATCATATGACAAGGAGTATAAATTATTGTCAGAAAAGTGATGAAATTACCAACATAGTGAACTTTGATTCTTAACAAAAGAGAGAAGGACCAGGGCATCAAATTAAGAAGTTACCTTGCTCACTGAGTATTAAGTATTGTCGGTAGACTGATGAAATTACCAACATCATGAACTTTGATTTCTTAACAAAAACTGGTTATTATTAAGGAAAGAAGCAGGATATTTAACATAGATGTTACCTTTGTTTACATTTTCCAACGTTCCTGTTACCTCTAATTAATGCACCATCACCTTCACCGGTTTGAGTATGTCTATAACTGAATCTATCATTGCCATTTGCCCACTCAGTTCCAGCCAACCTAGTAAATATAAGCCACGTTTGCTTTCCTCTAGTAATCCAACCCGCACTTGTCAACTCTCCCATACCAATGCACAAGAGAGCTGTTTTCTGTAGTCTGTTGGACGTTGCTAAAACAGTGCAAACTTCATTACCCAGCACCAAACAGCCTGCCACAAAGACCCTGAAACAATCCAACAGACCCATAGAAAAATCCTCAAGCGGATAGACAGGCTAACTGCTGTTCTTTGCAGCATCAAAGAGACTTGTTTGCTAGATCCACTTCAGTCATCAGTAACTCCCCAAATTATTGGAGACACAACCCTTACTGTGATTGTGGTATGCACATCTTCTCTAGTAGAAAAGGATCATGCAACTGATCTAACTCTGAACACAGTACAGAAAATATCAAAACACCTTGCCCTCCTATCCAATACAACAACAGCTGAGAACTTTGCCATTCAATTAGTATGGCATATGCTCCAGCCTTATGAGCCTGCAGGCTGCAACATTACTCAATTATCTTAAATTTGCTGTTAGCAAAGAGAAAATTACAAATGTCACAAGAGAGAAGGAAAGTCACAAGTTCAACAACAATGAACACTAATTAGAATCCCATCTTAATTAGCGTCTCCCTGGCTTCGAGGAAGTGTGATTTTTTATTATTATGAGTGGGTTAGTCTTCAGCTCTCCTTAGAGGTGTGATTTTTTTTCAGATCACGGAGGAAATGGATGTAAGGAATTCCTTTCTTCAAAGCAATAACAAGCAACACCAAAATGAAACACAAGACATCTATAGGGAAGACGCTTTTTGAAAACAGGAGTTTTTGCAAACAGTGAGTTTCATATCTTTTTTTTTCCAATGCTCTAATTCAGTTTTGTAGTTCAATATCCGTTTTCAAATAAGATAGTTAAATATTCTCGATTTCATTTTATTAGAGTTAGGAATATATTTCAATTCTTTTCTTTTTCTAATTTACTTCTGCAGATTTCATTTTTCTAACTTTAGAGCTTTATAAAAAATGTTAATTTGATATCCATTTCACATAGACAGAAATTTTGTAATTTGATTTATTTATTTTCTTCTAGTATAGATTTTTTTCAAATTCATTTCATAAATTCAATTTCAATTTTCTTCACCAATTAGTATTCCTAGTTGGGGGGCTTATGAGCCCTGTAATATTCAACAATTATTTCATATTTACATTTAGTTTTAAATTTTTAACATCTCTGTATTTCTTAGCTATTCAGTGTCAAAGGAACTGCAAAATGTCAATGTCAAGAAACCTTGCATGGACGTTTACAACCCACACATGGGAGGCGTTGGCCAAGCACAACAACTTCATTTTTTATTTTACAGGTTCTCCTTCCCTCAAGTGATATTGATACAATGCAGTGTCTATTAGCTGAATTCTTTTATTAAAACAACTCTTGAGCTTCATTGAAGTCTTCTTTATTCTGTTTCAATTGCCTTTTAAATTTGTTTACCATGTATAATTTGATTTTGCCTTTACATTTCACGAGAATGCTGATTAAGCCACAGGAATGATGAGGTTAGGCGTAAATTGTACAAAGTAATACTGGGGTAAAATATGTAAGTAAAGCCCTGGAGTTCTATCACACCTTCCTTAAACTCAATGGGCATCCTGTCAAGACCTTGGCCTAGTGGAAAGAAAGTGGCCACTTAGATTGAAGCAGTTTGCATTCTGTTTTAACCAATGGTTTTGTTTAATCATCTCAAAAGATTGTCCAGCATAATAACTTCCAACTTTAATTTTTTGTGTGGGATTTCCCACACTTAGTCAACGCCCGCGAAATTTATTTCTTTATTTATTTGTCCACGAGAGAGAAGTGCTTGTCACGTGGTTTCTATCTGAGCCGTGAAGACTGGATTCCAGTAGATGTTTTTTTCACTGTGTGTTGTACGGCGGCCATTTCTCTTCTCAGATTTTGGGTTTTGGAGAACTTATACGGAATTTCATAATTGTTTCCTGGAGATTTTTGCTTCCAAGGTAAGGATAATTCATTTTCTATTTTCACGCGTTCTTTGCGTGCTTTAACTTTTCAATTTTGTTGTGGGAGCTTCACGATTAACCTCTCACGAAAGGCGATTACGTTTGTGCACCTGGTTTGTGTTCTTTCTTTCATAATCTGAGGCGTTTATTTCGTTATTTCTTAAGGTGTTTATAACAGAAGATTTTTTCACGCAAGCCAACACGCTGAAACGCGGCTTGTGTTCAGTGCAGGTTGCACAGGAGCTTTTACGCTTTCACAAGCCAACATTTATCGGCTTGGACCTTCGGTGCGGGTTGTGCCAGATTGAAAGGAGTCATTGTACTCTCGCAAGCCAACATTTGTCGGCTTGAATATATTTGTGCGGGTTGCACTTCAAAGAGTCTCAGAGTGTCTCAAAGTGTCTCAAAGTGTCTCAAAGTGTCTCACGAGTGTCTCAAAGTGTCACATACTGAAAGAAACTATTGTTTGCCTAGAACTGTCAAGAGTGTTATTTATTTTAATAAACTGAGTTTCTAGTTTATTGGATTGTTGTTGTTGCTCGCTCAAGAACACAAGTAAATATGGGGATCTCTATTGAACAATTCCGTTCAAGGATTGGATCTCATGACAATTTCGTGAAAACAAAGGATACCTCATCGCGCTTTAAGGATCGGCTTTGGAATATAATGCTAATGACGTTTTATTTAAATGTATTTTATTTGGGGACACTGAAACAAGTTGTTATGCAATACAAAATGTTGAATCAAGTGATGTTTTGGTTTACACAAATGATGTGCTACAATGTTTATATTCCATTGCTTATAAGACAAGCAAATGATGTTGAGGAAAATCCTGGCCCTACGATATTTGATATCATTGACCCAATGATAACAGTGTCTGCAGACTACAGTCAAGGAAATGAAGCACTCTTTGGTGAAAATGCTGGTAAGCAATGTGTGGCAATGTCACTTACTGCTATTATTTATCATCAAGTAGAACATATCAATGAATGGACTTCTTCCACTTTGAATAATATTTTGACTATTGGAAATAATCTATATGTTTCTATAAGATATTCTGTGCAAACAAATGATTATTTGCTGTTAACTGATGTTCCATGTGCTGTTTCACTTTACAACAAAGTGTATACATTGCAATACAGTGAGTCATTAACTGGAAGTTTGTTCATGACATCAAATAATGGCCCATACATGTCTCTTCAAAATTCACTGATGGAAGTATTTTCAAATTCTGGACTAAACTACCATTGTTGTTTGTTAACTGTTGGAAACAATACTGTTGCAGTGTTTAAAAATTCTGAACAAAGCTTTAAGATTTTTGACTCTCATTCAAAAGATTTTTATGGCATGCCCCATTCATTTGGGAAATGTACTTTGCTGAGCATTGAAGGCCTTAAAAACATTGTGTCATATTTGCAAATGTCTTGCTCAGAAGTAGGGGTTGTTCCTTTTGAAATCAAAGGTGTTTTAATCAGTGATTGTCAACTTGATTTGAAAAGTGTTCAAAACAGCCAGAAGAATGAAGAGTCACGTTCAAGTGACAAAAATAATCCAAAAAAGCTTGTTAATAGAAAGCGAAAGTGTTCAAGTGAAATAGCAGACATAAGGGAAAAACGGTTGATTGCCCGACGTGAATATGAGAAAAAGAGAAAGGCAAATGAAAGTGAAGAATCTAGGCAAAAGAGGTTGGCACAACAGCGCAAAAATAAGAGAAAGAGTCGTGCAAGTGAATCTGTTGAATCTAGACAAAAAAGACTGGCTAGTCAATCTCTATATCAAAAAGAAAAAATTGCAAATGAATCTGTTGAGTGTAGACAACACAGACTGGCAAATCAACGTCAGTATGATAAAGAAAGAAAAGCAAATGAATCTGTCAAATGTAGACAACAGAGACTGGCAAATCAACTTCAGTACGATAAAGAAAGAAAAGCAAATGAATCTGTCAAATGTAGACAACAGAGACTGGCAAATCAACGTCAGTATGATAAAGAAAGAAAAGCAAATGAATCTGTCAAATGTAGACAACAGAGACTGGCAAATCAACGTCAGTATGATAAAGAAAAAATTGCAAATGAATCTGTCAAATGTAGACAACAGAGACTGGCAAATCAACGTCAGTATGAGAAAGAAAAAATTGCAAATGAATCTGTCAATAGTTTAACCATTGTTAAAGAAATCCGAAAATTTCATGTGGCTGTTTCTAGAGGTCCACTGTACATTTGTTCTTGCTGTGACCAATTGTGGTATAAACACAGTGTTGTTAAGGCTGAAAGGCTGAGAGTTTCCAATCCTAATGCAGGAAAATATTTGCTGAGTAAAAAAAGTGTCATGACATTGAGTGGATTTGTCAGTCTTGTGATAAAAATCTGAAGAAAAACAAAATACCACCTTGTGCAGCTATGAATGGAATGACCTTTCCAGTGAAACCAGACTTTTTTGATTTAAACAAGTTAGAGTGCAGACTTCTAGCACCTAGATTAGCTTTCCAAAAGCTTATGCAAGCCCCAAGAGGAAATCAATTGAAAATAAAAGGAAATGTTGTGAACATACCAGCAGATGTTAACAATACTGTTAATGTGTTACCACGGTTACCTGAGGAAAGTGGCACAATAAAAGTTCAGTTAAAGAGACGATTACAGTATAAGAGTTCTGCACTGTCCTTAAATGTAAGACCGTATAAAATCTTACAAGCAGCAAACTGGCTGGCTACTAACAGTAATCTTTATAGGGAACAAGGAATATCTTTTAGTAAAGACAAGATGGGAAATTGTAACATATACTTGCAAAATGAAACTGAGAGTGAAGATGCTTCTCAAGCCAGCTGCAATGAACAAATAAGTGGTACATGTAATGCTATCAAAAAGACTGCAGGCCAAGACACCAGTGAATTTCATGATGACTGGACCGAAGAGGATGCAGAAATACCTTCAGGAGTAACCGATACTATGTTAACTGCAACTGACTTTCTTGATGACAATGAACGACAACAAATTTACAACATTGCCCCTGGGGAAGGAAGTGTACCATTAAGTATATTTAGGGACAAATATTCTGAAGAGTTAGCCTATCCAGGAATATTTCTAGGTCAAAAGAGGCCAGAAAATGAACAGAGACTAGTTGATGTTCATTACAGTCATATTTGCAAATCAGAATTACGAAGGTCAGATAGACGAGCTGCAATGTCTACAGAGAATATATTTTTTAAAACTAAAAAATTACAAATGAAGATTCTGCTAAGAAAATCTCAAATAGCACTACGAAAATGTAAAGGCAATAATAGATTTCTTACAGCTGGTCAGTTAAAGCAACCAGGCACCTTGGAAAGATTAGTTCATCTTGATGAAGGCTACAGATTCTTAAGAGCACTTCGTGGCTCCCCTCCTTATTTCGAGAAAGCAAAAAAAGATATCTTTGCAATGATCAGACAACTAGGGCCTTCTACTTTATTTTGTAGTTTTTCGTCAGCTGAAACACAGTGGATACATCTTCTTAGAATTCTTGGCAAGCTTGTTGATGATAAAGAATATTCAGATATCGAACTTGAGAATTTGAACTGGGAAGAAAAGTGTAGATTAATTCAGAGTGATCCAGTGACTTGTGCCCGACATTTTGATTATCAGTTCAATCAATTTTTGAGGCATTTTTTAATGAGCAGTGCTGCTCCCCTAGGGAAAATAGCAGACTGGTTTTACAGAGTGGAATATCAACAGAGAGGCTCTCCTCACATCCTCATGTTAATTTGGCTTGAAGATGCATCAGTGTATAGATGCAATAATGACAGTAATGTCACAACATTTATTGATAAAATAATAACTTGTAAAAAACCAAATAATGATCCAGAATTAGTGCTTCTTGTCAATAGACAGATGCATAGGCACTGCCAAACTTGTCGTAAGAAGTCAAAGGCAGAATGCAGGTTCAATTTTCCACAACCACCTATGAAGTCAACAACCATTTTGCATCCTCTTGGTGATGATGTATCTGAAACTGAGGTCAGAAAACACAAAGATACTTGGAAAAACATCAGTAAACATTTGAATGACGTGAAAGAAGGTGAAGACATCACATTTGACCAATTGCTGATTAATCTCAATGTCACAGAACAAAACTACTACCTTGCTATTCAATCAAGTCTCAATTCTCCCACCATATTTTTGAGAAGAAATCCAAATGAACTAAGAGTGAACAATTATAACAGTGCCTGTCTAAAGGCATGTAGGGAAAATATGGATATACAATTTGTGCTAGATGTTTATGCTTGTGCAGCATATATTGTGTCATATATTTCAAAATCTCAAAAAGGAATGAGTCAGCTCTTACGAAGAGCATGTGATGAAGCCAGAGCAGGAAATTCCAGTATAAAGCAACAAGTAAGAGACATTGGCAACCAATTTTTAAATAGTGTTGAAATAAGTGCTCAGGAAGCAGTTTACATAGTTCTTCAGCTACCAATGAGAAAAAGTTCCAGACAAGTGATTTTTATTAACACCACACCTCCTGAGGAAAGAGTGCAACTCTTGAAACCAATGAATGAAATAGAAGAAATGGATGATGACTCAGAAGAAGTTCACTCTAGTGGTCTGTTAAACAGGTATAAACAAAGACCTGCCAGTTTTGAGAATATTTCACTAGCTGATTGGGCCACATTGTATGATTCTTGTCAAAAACCTTTCATGAAAAAATCCAAAAGTACTGATTTGGATAATCTCCCACTGGAGACAATAGATGATGATGAAAACAATGATGATGAACTCTTTGACTGTGCCAAAGAAAGCACACAGGTTGGAAAACCAGGAAAACCAAAACAGCATTTAAAACCCAGAATAATTAGGAGTGCGTGGTTCAATGTAAAATCTCAATCAGAAAAACACTACCGTGAACTTATTATGCTTTTTGCTTCATGGCGAAATGAAGAAACTGATTTAATGGGGAACAGTTCTTCATATCAAGAATATTACCTTCTTTTGAAAGAACAGATAGATAAACAAATGATGCAGTATGCTGTCTGTAGTGAAGATTTAAATGAGATTGAACAAGATTTACACAACACAGATTATAATGATGAGCAGTTTGATCCCATAGCACCAAACACACAAAATGTTGAATTGCAAGATGAAGCTGAGGGTACCGAAGATTTACATCCTGATTTTAGTGAAAACTATGACCTCTCTGATGATCTTGGCATTCCATCAACATCGCTGAATAGTGAACCACTGATATTGAATGAATTACCTGATTGTGATTTTCGTCAAATGATCCAGACACTCAATAAAGAGCAAAAAGAATTTTTTTTTATCACATTTTACATCAGATTAAAACCTCAGAAACCCCTTTCTACTGCTTCCTCAGTGGAGGGGCTGGTGTTGGCAAATCACATTTAACAAAGGCTTTGTATCAGGCAGCGCCTAAGTATTATAACACTAGAGCTGGTGATTATTTTCATCAGATCAAAGTTATACTATTAGCTCCAACTGGTAAAGCTGCATATACCATTAAGGGTAACACTCTTCATAGCACTCTGGCCATTCCTGCCAATCAATCACTGAGAAATTACAAACAGCTTGATTCAAGTAGACTAAACACTTTTAGAAGTCAGTTTGGAGGTGTTAAATTGATTTTTGTTGATGAAATCTCAATGGTAGGAAATGGTATGTTTGCAATACAGCTAAACAATAGGCTTGAAGATATAAAAGGCTGTAGAGAGGATTTTGGAGGTGTGAGCATAATTGCTATTGGTGACTTATTCCAATTAGAACCTGTTAAGGATGCTTATATTTTCAAAGATCTCAAAAATGTAGATTATGCTGTTCTTTCTCCCAGTTTATGGCATAAACACTTTAAAATGTTTGAACTTAATGAAATCATGCGTCAAAGAGACAGCAAATTGTTTGCAGAACTACTTAATAGGTTGCATGAAGGTAAACACACAGCTGCTGACATTGCAAAACTTAAAGAGAGAGCTATACATGAAGACATCAACAATCCAATAAATGCACCTCACTTATTTATACAGAATGCGAAAGTAGATGAATTTAATCAAAGGGCTCATAATGCAGCCACAGGAAACAAACAAATTCATAATAAATGCTCAAGATAGTGTTATTGGAGCTATCTCTCCAGAGATAAGAAACAAAATACTAAGAAAAATACCCAATGATCCAAGAAAAACAAAACAGTTAGCCTTAACCCTTTGTCTTGCTGAGGGTGAAAGAACAGATCTTGTTATGAATATACGAACTGAAGATGGCATGACAAATGGTGCTGGAAATGTTGTTAAACTAGTTCAGTTACATCAACAAACCAAACCATCTGGTATTGTATGGGTACAATTTGACCACTCAGATGTAGGTCAGAAAACAAGGAATGAAAAAAGACATTTGTATGTACAAGGAATTGAACACACATGGACCCCAGTAAACCCTGTGACTAGACAGTTTGCAGTAGGTAGAAACAAAACAGCACAAGTTGTTAGAAAACAATTTCCATTGCGTCCTGCAGCAGCAAAAACAATTCACAGGTCACAAGGTGATACTGAAAGCAGAATTGTTGTGGATTTTAGTACTAGAAATACTATTCCACACATACATTATGTGGGACTCAGTAGAGTGACTGCTATAGAAGGCCTGTATATTTCTGATTTGTGTGAAAGCAAGATTGCTGTTAATCCAGATGTTAAGAAGGAAATGGAGAGATTAAAAACAACTGCAAAACTTAAGCTTTGCATCTCCCCCCTCTATGACAAAACATCTTCCCTTCTTAAACTGTGTTATCTTAATGCAAGGTCTCTTCACAGACACATAGAAGATATACGTGAAGACTTAAATTATTTAAGTGCTGATATCAATATTTTCACAGAAACAAGATTTAGTTCTCAAGATAATAATGACATGTATGACATTGCTGGTTATGTTCTCTTCCGTAATGATAACCTTAATTCCAGTAATGGATCAAGGCCTCATGGTGGTACAGCTGTGTACAGTAAAATCCCATACTTACCTGGCTACCCCTATTATCACAATATACATGGTGTTGAAATGACAGTAGTTAAGTTAGCAAGTCTTGAGGATTGGACAATCATAGGGATATATCGCTCCCCAAACGTGCCTGTAAGACAACTTTGTGAAGCAATAACTGAGGTATTGAATAACATTTCACCAGACAACAATATCATTACTGGAGACTTTAATATAAATTGGCTTGTTGAAACAGACAGAAGACCTTTGTATAATCTACTAGTGAGGGATAAACATTACAAACAGCTCATATCAACTTATACAACTGACAACAACACAATAATTGATCATATGTATACAAATATATCTAACATTGATATACAAGCAGATGTTTTAGAAACATATTTCACAGATCATAAAGCTGTTTGGGCCTCATTTCACAGTGTCCTATAACAAATTATTTTATCATGATGTACATTGTTTTTAAGTTAAGAAAGCAACAAAAAAGAAAGCAGTAAATCATTATGAAAAGAGTTGTTTACCTTTTTTTCAGAGGAATCTGTCATGAGAAACTTGCAAAACTATTAATAAGGAAATGCTGCTTATTCATCTGGTACCAGAACAGGCCTTTTAAAATTAAGTTTGAAGTCATCTTTCTTAGATTTGTCCAGTTTAACAGCCATTTACAAAAGACAAAAATAAACTATATAACACAGTCTTGAAATTTTAAGGCAGCTCCTTTAGCATTTTGGTTAATTTCTAACTGCAACCTTTATTGACAACCCTGCATTAAACAAATTTCCACAGGTAAGTCTGCAACCCCTTCCCCACCCCCTCTTACCCTCAACCTTTCTTTTTTTTACCTTGTTTTCTGAAAATAACTAATTCTCAGAAACTTTCACTGTCATTACTTTTTTTTGTCCTTTTCCTTTATTAAAACAGGTAAAGTAGTTTACCACGCACTGCGGACCTATTCCAACACGCAGAGTGCACGCTTGATGGTCATGATTTCTGGCATATATCGAAATCTGCCGATTACAAGGCTACACCAAACTTACTTGGCCAATCAGAAAACAGTATTTTCGATCCTCCAAATGAGTATAAAAACGACGAACACTCCAGTATAGTTAACTCAATCAGATCAGGATGTCAACAAGCAGGCCTGCGAGGGTTACGAAGCAGAAAACGGCGAAACAGTCCCGAACAACTGTCAACCCGGTGGGCCATCCAAGCGTCTTTAGCGCAGGAGACAAACTGTCAGATAACTTAAATCCATCTTCCTTGTTCGCTCAAGATACAAGTAGAACCACCGGTGGTATAGAACAGCCAAGCGCCTTAGATTTCAACTTATCCTCGTCCTCGGCTAGTGATGCGAGTCACACCAGTGGTGGCAAAGCTTTGGAATTATCACTGTCTTCGATGGACGACTCCAGCTCCATGGAAAAAGAAGTCGGGCAGACAAGTTGCATTTCACAGCAGCAACAGTGTCTGGTCCAAAGCCACCGACGATGTTGTTATTGCCTACGTTCATCAGTTATCGCCATCAAAACGGAATAAGAAAGATACTCTCTACTACTCTACTCTGTTGTTGCAAACCAGCGAAAATGGATGTCAAGATGCGTTGCTTTATTCCAAGCAGAAACATAAACTTCTAAGCGACAGTCAAAAGTCTCACACTCCGGTGAAATTCAGCGATTCACGCATACAAGTGATGGCAAGAAACTTATCATCAATGACATAACAAAGATTTCTGTTCCCGATCAAACCGAGTATTCCTTCCAGTACTCCGTGGACACAGTGGCTACATCACCAATACTTTCAGTTGCACAAATTTTGAATTCTTCTAGTGACTGGGATAAAGTAACCATTTGTGGAAAGATCGTTCACATGTGCGATCAAGAACTTGCAGGTCGAAACAAACTGAGATTGGCACGAGCCACCTTCGCAGATACAACTGGAACAATCGCAATTGACCTTTGGGAAGAAAATATTGCAGTGATCAAAATTGGAACTGTCTACCGGATTGCGCCAATTCAGGTACGTGTTTGGAACGAAGCAAAAAAACTGTCAACCATGCGCAGTTCAGTTGTTACACCTGTAACAGATACAACAATCTCTCAGCTTCAAATTCCAGAAGAACAGTTGAAGTCCGGAAATGAAACTGTGACAGCAACCGTAGCAAATATTCACACAATTGAGAAAGTAGAAAGATTCATTGCATGCTTCAACTGTGCGAAAAGAATTCTGCAAGGAACTTCAAGTAATGTTGTACACTGTGATTGGTGTGGACACACAATGAGAATTTCTAACTGTTCACAATATGTATGTGCAAAACTAGTTTTATATGTCAATGATCGACAAATCCATTTAACTGCGTTTCAGGATGTGCTAAGTAATGTAATTAAGGGAGACTTCACTAAGTTTTCTGAGGCAGAGATAGCAGAAATGCTGCTACTCTTTAACAATATAACTGTCGTGTATAATGCGAACTCTCGAGTAGTAAAAGAACTGAAGGCAGTCTGTTAAGAGTTCTTCTGTAGTTCTTTGTTGTTTTTTTAACTTCGAAGTTGGTTATTTGAACTCGGATGCAAAGAAACTTATTTCGTTCATGTTTACGCAACACTCGGTTCCCAGCCGTGCGGTTTCGATTGTGTTTTTATGTCATGAGAATTTAATTTTCGAAGTTAATTCGTCTTTGTTTTACTATAAATTCATTAGGCTCAGTTTAAAGATTTGCGAATGTCAAACATTTCCTACATTTTACAATGTAGTGTTGTTACAGTATGGACAAGTTTTAATAAACTATAATAAACGTTTGAGTTTGAAAACAATTCTCTCTCACTGACCTCGTTTGCCATAAGGAGGGGTATCATAAATTCGTGGACGGATGGGTCGTATCTGGTACACTTTAAAGCGAAATGCGAGCGCTAAAGATAAATATTACGCACAGTGACTACGGTGCGAGTAAATTGAATAACTCTCAACACTAAATGAATAATAATCGTAGTTCGCACGGGAAGAAAGCTAAAACAAAGCTATGAACGAAATGTAATATTCGGGGACTTGCACAAATTGCATTTAAATCACGACCATCCTGAAATACTCCAGGATACCCAAAAAAAAACTACAAACAAACAAACATCAATGAAGTGAGCAAACAAACATATCAATGAAGTGAGCAAACAACCACATGCGTGACTTTCACGTAATCTTACATTTCCAACAAGCGTTGCATCGACGACAGAACGATACGAGATTCGGCGTGTCCGACCTAAACTTAGCTTGCAGCGAAAGTTTTGACTTTCGCAAACAGCTTTTCCAGTAAATTCTTCGCTTCATAGCTTAAGAATGATGCTCTCAAAACGAACTTGAAATTATTCCGAACTAATACGTTACCAACTCCTAAGAAGCTCTATATATTAGTGAATACCTGTTTTATGCTATCGCAAAAGCCGTTTCACTGATTTGGCAAGCTTTCTTTTCGTTGATGTTGTTCTTCACATTCGCTTTCTTTGTAATTACATAAGATGTCTTTACTACAAAGAGTGATCAGGCAAAATATCGCACATAATTACTCCAGGTTGACAATAACCATTCTGTCTTGCACTGCCTATACCGTGATTGCAGCATTCCCACGTGCGTAAAGTGCTCGTAACTTATGGGAAACACGCATGTTACACCAAAAAAACCCGCGTGTAGCAGAAGAGGCCGATTACTCGCAATTTCTTGTAGTTTTGAATTTCCCTTTTGTTTTTCAGAACACGCAAATACCTGTATTTTCTTACACGGATGCGATAGAAATTAATTGGAAAAGCATTCCTTGAAATAGGAAGTCGTCGTGTGTTTTCAGCGAAAAAGATCGTCAAGTGATCAAAACAACACCGGCCAGATTATAGTCACGTGCTCGGCAACGACTTGTAGAAAGCGATCATCTTTCATTCTTATCATCAAAACAGTCACGTTTGCATAAAAGAACAACAAAGCGAAACGATTACAACGAAAAGCCCCAAATTGGCGTAGAAAGAAATAATGCCGCAAATTAACATTTTTTTTATGTCATGGGTACACGTTTCCTTGGGAATTTCCATGTCAACAGCTTGCTCTGTCACTCACAAACTCTTCGTGATTCTCGCTGGTCCTTGTTATGTTTAGCGCATGGACGATTCGAAGACCCTTCAAATTTGGTTTTCAAGTTGATCATAGCACTCATCTGAAACATTCGAAGTCCATTTCAATATAGCAAATGTCGAAACAGGCGTGTAAAGACAATAAATATCGCAACGATCAATGCAATCACATTGGCGCCAGGACTTTGGACTTCTTCGGAAGGATAGATCTCGAGTTCGAAGCCGACTAATAGCTCTTATCGGAGTTGAGCACGCCACCCAAGCAATCCAGCGGTATTCTTGTGAGTAAACATCAAAGCGAGGCTATCGGGTCAGCATCGATCAGATTTGTGAGAGAAAGTGGGGAAAACTTATGAAGTGTTCCACAAATCTTCCACAAGCGGCCTTTTTTTCCGCTGAGGAGAAAGTGCAGTTGATAGGTGGTAATTGCCCACGGCATATTACTAAAGAAAGACTCAAAGAATGGTTGTCATTCCGCAAAGGGACGGCTAAAGATGGTAGTGCACGGTCTGAAGCAACGAAGGCTGAGTTATCTCAAAGGTACACAGATTGCAATATTTTTTGTCCCTTGTAATTATTGCCATTGCTTGAAGGGAATATCGAAGCATAAGTTCTATATCGATTTGTTTTACCTACCGCAGGGTCATCAGTTATATAAAAAATGGTTGGGAGAATAATTTTACTGAGAAGTGGCAACACTTGGCGGCAAGTAAACCACTGGAGCAAACGGCGACCGTAAATTGTGATTTCCCTGGATCTGCACAATGGGTTTCGCTGGTTGACGCGAAGGACAATGTCCCTTCATTTAATATTCAGAATATCGTGTCTTACTTTATTGAAAGAAAAGCTAAAGACAATGAATCCAACAAAGATTTCAAGAATGTCAGCAGCAAAGCTTTCGGTTTGTTTCGACATGGTCATATCCAAAAACTGGAAATCGCACGGGACGACGACGACGACGACAAGGTACACTTCCGATGTGATTGCTTACCTGAAATGAAGAAAAACTTGAAGTATAACATAAAACTGTCACTGTGTAATAACGGTGAACAGGAAGGTAAAATCACGTTTGCTAGCTGTGCTTGCCCAGCTGGTAAAGGTCCATGTGGCTCTTGTAAACACATAGCCGCTCTTTGTTATGCTCTTGAAGAATTTGTGAGACTTAAGTGCACATGGGAATTTGCAACATGTACCTCAAGACTGCAAACTTGGAACCAGCCGAGAAAGAGGAAGCGTGACTCTCAGTCCGTTTATGAAATTGATTCCTCAAAAAAAATTTATAGAAGAGAAGAAAGGAACAATGCTAAGCCTTTGAATGATCCAAGACGTCCATCTGAAAGGAACAATGATCCGAAAAATGTCAACAGAGAACTGCTTGATAAAATAAAAAGAGTGAAACCAAATTGTGGTTTCTTTTGTCTACTGTCAGATGAGAAACTTGACCAAAGTAAAAATGACATCATTTCTCCAATTAAAGAGCACCCAGTCTCACTCACTGATATTTTTGACCGGGCAAAAAGAATTAAGAGAAATCTCATGGTTAGTGATCAAGAGAGACAGAACATTGCACTTGCCACAAAAGCTCAAAGTAACTGTCAGGCATGGTTTGAACACGGACGTGTTCGTATTACAGCCTCTCAGAGCAAACGAGCATTAATAAAGCCTTCTACAAGCCCAACAAAAGCAATGAAGGAAATTGTACACTATAACAATCAATACCAAAGTAATAAAATGAAACAGGGACTGAAAGATGAAAAGAAGATCATATTGGAGTATGAAAACAAACTGGATTGCAAAGTCAGTGAAACAGGTTTTGTTATATCTCGGAGTCATCCTTTCCTTGGGGCTTCTCCAGATTGGGAGGTAGATGGGGGACTAGTGGAGATGAAAAGAATATTCACAGATGGCCTATCTCTAAAGGAGGCAGTGTGTAAACGTTGTATATGTAGAGACACCTGTCATGGGTTGGTGATTAACAGGAATCATAAGTTCTATTACCAAGTCCAGCAGCTGATGCTTTGCACCAAATCATCCTGGACTGATCTGGTACTCTCTGACACTGTTAATTTAATTATTTTTCATGTGAGGAAGGATAAGAAATTCCTCTCTGACATAGTCCCAAAACTGGAAAAGTTTTATGACAACCACATCTCTTTGGAACTAGCATACCCAAGAGTTTATTATGGACTTACTGGATTGTGTAAACTAATTAACTGAAATGACTGCAATCACAATTTTATACTTTATTTCTTCTTTAGAAATACTGTAAATATACACAAATGACGACCTTTCAGTTGTTGGCATGTGCTTATTTCTCCCTAATTAGAGAATGCGAAGGGTAGTTATGTAGAACATAATATAAAAAGGAACATTTTGAGCCACAACACATGTTGAGTTTTGTAGTATTTTTATAACAAATTCACTTCAACATTGCATGACTATACAGTCTGTTTTTATTTTCTAATAAACAACATGAGGGCAAATTTGTAAGAAAGATATTTGTTATTGCTAACCATCTACTAGTGGTGGCAGGAAGTTTGATAGCATTGCACAGACAAAAAATATCATATCAATTATACCACTCCTGCACAGTGTTATGGGAACAAAGTCTAAAATGTGGTAGTTTTTTATTCTTTCCATGGCTCTTTCAACATGGATTCTTAGCAATGCAATCCTTCTTGTTTCCAGTAATTCACCTTCATTGAATTGGCCTGATTCATTCATGAATGGAGGAACATTTACTTTTACCCCTTTACATGCAAGCATCTCTTGAATGTTAAAACCTCTATCAGCCATGATAACATCACCATACTGTATTTTTTCTATAAGGCCTGACTTCTGTGTTAGTTCCTTGTCAGAAATGCTGCCACCATACAGGGTTGAAACAAATGAAATCCCCCCTTTTGGTACAATACCAACCAAGGCTTTCAGGGTGTTGCTATTTTTGTATGAAGAAAATGTTATTTGTTGAGCCTCTGGGTTGTTTGGCTTTTCAATGTATATCTCTGTAGCATCAATTATTAGAGTAGTTGTTGAATACCTTTTGCAAAAACATTCAGGCAGGTGTAATTTAACAATCTCTTTGGAAGGAAATACATCAAGTTCTTTGAATCTGAAATAAATAAACTTGATCCAGGTATTAATAATTTGGGAAACCACACTCTGGGAAACTCCAAATCTGAGTGATAAGTCTTCTTCAAGCAACCCCACTTTCAAACGACAAAGTACCAGAAAAAATTCATTTTCGATATTCAAAGCCCTACTTGGCCCAGGTTTATATTTGTGCTTGATTTCTCTTAAATTTCCGTGTTTTGGTAGTCCAAGTGATCAGCTGTCTCCCTCCCCAGAAAGTCAAGAACCATTGAAAACACTTCATAGTTTTCAAATCCAGTGTAAAATCTTAATAATTTATCATTTTCCTTTACAGTTTCGATGCTGAAGGCTTTCTTCTCGATTAATAATTCCAGCTCCTTTCTGGCACTTCTTTCTTCTTCAAGTTGATTCTCCAGATCTTGTATTTTTTGGTTCAGTTCGCGCTCCTTAGTTTGCCATTTCTCAAGTAAACATGAGATTTCGTTATTCTTTAACTGAAGTTGATGTTCCCAATTTTTATCTACAATTTGAAATAAACCTTCACTTTCGAGATGTACAGTTTCCATACCATCTGAAACAGATTTAAAATCGGTGTTTTCAATGTTTATCGGTTCGGGGGCTGAATGCTGCTGCGATTTCTCTATTTTTGTTTTCTTTGTGTTCAACGTTGCTCGATCAGCGGGCTCTTTCCTCTTTGGTTTTTCAACAGTAAATATAAACTTAATCGGTAAGGAATCTGGCTTCAAGCGAATTCTTTGTCCTCCCATTGGTTTTATGAAGCAATTAGCTTCAAAATGCTGACTACAGACATAAGAGTTTTTGTTTACCGGAGTGTTCTCTCGACGCAGTTTCACGAGCCATTGTGCCAGCAAATTCTTGTTTGACAGCGGCAGCAAATGCCATGATAAGTCCTTGCATTCCGCTTTGGAACTTCGGTTTTGACACCCGAAAGCTATGCAATGTTTCACCATGGATAAAGAAACTAAAAACTCGAGAAAATATTATGTAAATACCAAGCTACTACTAATTTCCCTCTCTGCTTCCTTGTACTTTAGAGCGAGCTAGACCCGATAGCCTCGTTTTGGCGTAAGCTCATCCGGAGACCGCTGATTTCGCGTGCTCAACTCCGATAAGAGCTATTACGAAGAGTCCACGCTAATTTGCATATCCCAAAGTGCCCATTACAACTCGTTTCTACGCTATCGTGTATCCACGAGTTAAAAAGTAGTAGCAGAAACTTTTTAAATTTTTTTCAATGAATGTTACGAAAATATTTACTACTCCAAGTATTTCCAGTATTGCCGTATAAGCAAATAAATAACCTAAGCCACTAAGAGGTAATTTATCTGTTGAAAATGATGACCAAACGTTCACTAACACGCCAAAAAGCTTCCAGGGAGGGAGGAAAATGCATATCGCTTGATAAAGGTATAAGTTAATACCCCAGATCCCTCCTGTGAATCTGTATTTGCTTAAATAATTCCCGCACAAAAATTACTATCCACACTACAGATTCCAGGCCTAATTTCACCCCTGAAGTATCGCTGACTCACGGCGAGTGATAGTTTTGCTTCCGCTCAAAAACCCCTTGCAACTACTTTGTCAATGAAATCCCACACAAGTATGCATTGCGGACCTATTTTTAAATTTAATCGCTGTACTATAAACTTGTATGTTCGACCCTCGATGAACGCCTTCGATATAGCGTCACCCATGACGTGTCATGAATGCCTGTCATATTACGCCGCTCCTTCAACAATTTCACTGGTTGCCTATTTACCTACGTATTGAGTTTAAAATTCTTTTGATCACCTTTAAAGTACTACACGACTCAGCTCCTAAATATCTCAGTGATTGAATTTCTCTTTTACCAACATCCCATTATGATTTACCGCGAAATAACAGGGGAATTCTTCTAAGCACCCTAAAGTGTGCGGCAGCGCAGCGTCTTTGGAACGGTCTTCCCGTAAACATTAGATCTGCTTGCACCAAAAGTGATTTTAAACAGAAACTTAAGACATTTTTATTTAGCAAGGCATTAGTTTATATTTAGATTTTTATATAGTTTGCTCTGCAAATTATTTTTCTTATAGCTAATTGTGATAGTACAGTTTTCATCTTTGATTTCATTATGATTGTAAATAGATTCTTGTATTGTATTTGTAATGTTTGTAATGCGCATTTGATTATTTATTATCATAATTTTTTCTAACTATAATACTTGTTAGAAAACACTTTCAAACCAAAGTTTTTTTCTATGATGCAACAGTTCACATCATAGACTGCTACCTTTTGATGTCTTCATTTCCAAAATGCAGCCTTGCATAATGCATTTGAAATGTATTGTCCTGCCTAAGAATACTTTGAAAGGAGTTATTGCTTTAGAACTACAGGTTATATTCATTGCAACATTTATGCTACACACTTGGCCAACGTGTTTATAAAACATGAAAAATTTTGCATGGAAATTGTTCAAAATAAAATGTAGGTGGGAAGGCCAGTTGTTCGATCCCATCAGACTTTGTGACTGTTCAGCGGCGTTTTCACTCTTAAAAGTTACCAGCATTTTACTTTGTCTCCACAATAGCAGATACAGAAGGGGATGATGTGAAAAAGGGGGATTTACAGTCTGCAAATCCCATGTATCACGACCCACGGCCGCGGGTACCAACCCTATCCAGCAGCTCAGAACCAAGATCATGTGCTACCTCAGAGAGATTACAACACATACTGGAGATCACTGACGAAGTGTGGGCTCTGAAAAGATCCGGTTTACCAAACTAGAAAAGTTGAACTAGGGGACCAAGTAAATGCAGTGTGGGAAAGGATGCCCAATTGTGAATCTTTTCTTAACGCCTGGTAAAAAGTGTTGATGGGCTAGCACAACTCCTGCTAGGGAATGAGTTTAATAAGAACAATTTTCTCCCCACTAGCCCTTTTCTAATACAAAATACAGGCGTGGTTGTAGATTAGTACATTAAAACCAGAACAAACAGTTTTCCCATGTTTATTGTCACAATTCCCTTTGACACAGCTGGAACTTAATCCATCTACACTTGAATCCAAAACACAATTACAGCAGAAAAATAAGTAAAGATGAAGTAAAAGAAGACCCAGATTAACACCTTTGACATTCAGACTCGTTTTGGACCAAAGCAATCAGTAATGACTCTTTTAAGTCCCTTGTTAGAGACAAAAATACTAGCAGCAACCAGAGAAATTTACCAGAGCCCTTAAAACATGATAACTCTTCTGTTATTAAAGGGGCTGACCAGAAATGCTGTCGAGTTCCTAAAGTTCAAAAGTGGCCATCAGATTAGGAGTATTTTAGATGTCCATCCCATCCCAAGAGAAACGCTTCATTCATCTTTATTGTTCTGCTTTAGTTAGAAAGAGATGTTGACCTGTCAAATCCACCCAACTGTGCCTATGATTATTAATCCTTTATAGACTGCGGAGCGGCTTAACAAAGACTATTACTTTGCCCTGGTGTAATCAAGGCAGAACCTGCTCTCATTAGTTGCGAGTTCTTCAACAAGATATTTGAAAAGTCAGACAAGGAAAGCAATAATGAAAGTTCTGATGGTTTTGCTATTTACATTTATTAAGTAGAAAGGGAGAAAAAGCACCATAAATGTGAGAATGAGAAGGACCATGACTAGGATATCAGTGACTTGAGAGATTGCTGAACCTAGGCGCCAACAAAGAATAAAATTTGACACTCCTGGAAGCCCCTTGCAAGCCGACTTCTTTAACAAGATATTTGGGTACTCTGTTATTAACAAAATTGCGACACACACACACAAAAAAAAAAAAAAATATATATATATATATATAAATATTATGAGAGGAAAAAAGGACGCAACTACATTTCCCGACAAGCCTGTTTCATGAATCGCTTCCTGTTCCACGCGAAAATCGACTTGCAGACTTCCTATATATGCTCATCAAAAGCTAGCTGATATGCTACATCCTAACAAGTGGAAGGACAGAATGAAAAGCAAGATGAAAGGTTTTTAGTCCATTTTCATTTTCAAAGGCTTAACAAACCTTCTAGGAAAAACCATACACTGGTCACAGGAACCCTTCATTAGAAATGCTGGCATTCACAACCTATTGGTGGAGAACCACCGTGAAGAACTGACTTACTATTTACACTTTTCAAACTCTGAAAGAAAGCCACCTTGTGGCAATGCATATTATGATCAAATAGGCAAGATGTGCCTACCCTTTTCACCATTTTGGATAACATTTAAAATGCATAAAAACTCTCCAAAAACCTGTCCATGGTTAAAGCTATAATAGCATTTAAAGCTACTATTCTAATAATTCATGCCCACAAAGTCAACAAAATGCAGGATAAACATTCCCAAAATAGGTATGTCAGAAACTTTACCCTTTACCTCTGACTGGAAAGCAATCATGCTTGTCTATATGGGCTTAAATTTGATGAAGTTATGAGAATTTCATTGCCTTTCCTTCACAAGAAAAGGCACTTTATTTTGATAATTTTTTCACAAGCACCAATTCGCTGGAACACTGACTTGCCAAAAACACATATGCTTGTGGAACTGTTTGTTAGAGAATTGCCACCACATGCAAAGAACAAGTTTTGCTGGTAGTCAGTTAACTTAAGCTCAAATAGTTGCAATGCATTACACTTTTCTTTAAGAAGAGCACAGTCTCTGCTTTTAAATTTGGTCTGTCTCAAGCCATTTTAAGTTTTAATATTCTTTGTATATTTGCTTTTTTTATTTTCAAATTTTGTACGTCCATGTATTTCTTTGCTAGTTTTTACGAATATTCAACATTAATATCCTATTTGCATATAGCTTTAAATTTTTTTACCTTCAATGCATCTTTTAAGTGAACCTTGCATAACATCTGGATAACTGTTGATGGAATATCTTTAGGGCGCAGTTCCGAAGTAACAAACAGAAATAATTATCATTCTATTTACTTTAAACTATAAAGTTACTTTTTACAGATGTGGAGTATTCTTATTATAATGATCATTATCCAATATTTAAATTTATTCATTTGTTGTTAAATTTTGTAACTATTTAGGATAGTATAGAACGTCCGCATCAGTTTGTCCAGCGTCAAGCTCCACATGGTCATGATAGATAAATAAGTTGGATCTCCAGTGCTATCATGTAAAATGCAACCCTACCTAAATCCGTGAAAATATTCACGGATATTTAGTGATGTTTCTATCGGAAGACAATGTTCTTTTATGAGTTTTTCTGCACGTTTATACACTAGAAGTTTTCCTTACATTCAAAGTTACAATTAAGACTTAATAAAGAAGCTTTGTTTCACTTTGCCACATCAACAGCTTCTTGCTGTATTGGATCCAACTTTTGAAGTAAGGCAGCAATGATACTGGATGATGTCAAGCTCAAGATTTTCAAAGCAAACAGAGAAATTGATATCTAATATGACAATGAGTATAAATTATTGTCAAAAGAGTGATGAAATTACCAACAGCATGAACTCTAATTATTATCAAAAGAGAAAAGGACCAGGGCATCAAATTAAGAAGTTACCTTGCTCACTGAGTATCAAGTATTGTCGGTAGACTGATGAAATTACCAACATCATGAACTTTGATTTCTAAACAAAAACTGGTTATTATTGAGAAAAGGACCAGGATATTTAAGATAGATGTTACCTTTGTTTATATTTTCCAACGTGTCTGTTACCTCTAATTCATACACCATCCCCTTCACCAGTTTGAGTATGCCTATATCCGAATTTATCATTGCCATTTGCCCACTCAGGCCAAGTTTGCAGTCCTCTAGTAATCCAACCTGCACTTGTCAACTCTCCTATTCCAATGCACAAGAGAGCTGTTTCCTGTAGTCTGTTGGATGTTGCCAGGGCAGTGCAAACTTCCTTACCCAACACCAAACAGCCTGCCACAAAGACCCTGAAACAGTCCAAGAGACCCATAGAGAAATTCTCAAGCGAATAGACAGGCTAATTGCTGTTCTTTGCAGCATCAGGGAGACTTGTTTGCCAGATCCACTTCAGTCACCAGTAACTCCCCAAATTATTGGAAACACAACCCTTACTGTGACTGTGGCATGCACATCTTCTCTAGTAGAAAAGGATCATGCAACTGATCTAACTCTGAACACAGTACAGAAAAAATCAACCACCTAGCCCTCCTATCCAATACAATAGAGAGTTCAAGATACCTGGACGGCTGACCTCGAGGACGGCTGACCGGAAGTAAATTTCGCGTGTAGACCACAATGCGCATGCCTGGTCCACGCGGATTGCAGTCCTGTTTGTGTCGAGGACGTGAGAAGTGGTGTTTTGCCGTCCACCAGTCAACGTGAGCACTGTTACTATTATTTCCCCATAAACTTCCGCATGTTTTTAGATTTTCGAACTTCATTAGGTAAACATTGTTTGTCACTTATTTGTTTTGGGCAATAAAACCACTGACAAGCTGGTTAAAATTGTAAAAGTGATGTGCACTGTGCACAGCCACGGTGGAGCATTTCGACTGAACACGTGCGTTAAATTTTCTTGCTTTACTAAAAAAAGTCCCTAGCACTTGAACCCGCTTATCCTCTGAATGAAAGATGTCTTATCTTGTATTAAACTTAAACAAAGGCCCTCCATTCGGTCGCAAACACTGCCTTGTGGACACGTAAAGGTGGGCGGTAATTGAAGAACATCAGCGAGACGTTCGATATCTCCTCTTTCAAACCTAAACTCCGCTTTACATTCGGCTTCACTGATGTTTTCTTCAAAGTTAAATTCCTCATACTCGTAGTAAGGCAACTCTAAATTAACTGGTTGATTTGTCTCATAAAGAAACATAAACTCTTCATCCGTCAATAGCCCTTCCGCGTAAGCAATAACAATCATTTCACGAGTCTTTCTTAAAGATGCCATGATGAACAAAACGTTGTCGTCCTCAGCTTGAAATCTGCTCCTTAACGTGAAAAGTTTCCCGCCAAGGTAGTCGTCATCGACCCAGTCCCTCGCGCTCAATGTTAATGTCTTCGAGGTCAGCCGTCCAGGTATCTTAAACTCTCTAATAACAGCTGAAAACTTTGCCATTCAATTAGTATGACATATGCTCCAGTCTTATGAGCTTGCATGCTGCAACATTACTCAATTATCTTAAATTTGCTGTTAGCAAAGAGAAAATTGCAAAATTACAAAAGTCACAAGAGAGCAGGAAAGTCACAAGTTCAACAACAATGAACACTAATGAGAATCCTATCTTAATTAGCGTCTCCCCTTTTATGAGTGGGTTAGTCTTCAGCTCTCCTTTGTGGTGTGAGAGGAACAATCACTGACACTTTTTTGTTTTAGATCACTGAGGAAATGGATGTAAGGAATTCCCTTCTTCAAAGCAATAACAAGCAACACTAAAATGAAACACAAGACATCTATAGAGAAGACATTATTTTTTGCAAAAATGTTAGCACTCTAATTCAGTTTTGGAGTTAGTTCAATATCCCTTTTCAAATAAGATAGTTAAATATTCTTGATTTCATTTTCATTAGAGTTAGGAATATATTACAATTATATTCTCTTTCTAATTTACTTCAGCAGATTTCATTTTTCTAACTTTAGGGTTTGTAAAAAAATGTTAATTTGATATCCATTTCACATAGATAGAAATTTTGTAATTTGATTTCTTTATTTTCTTCTAGTATACCATTTTTTCAAATTCATTTCATAAATTTAATTTCAATTTTCTCCACTAATTAGTATTCCTAGTTTGGGGGGGGCTTATGAGCCCTGTAATATTCAACATTTATTTCGCATTTGCATTTAGTTTTAAAATTTTAACATCTCTGTATTTCTTAGCTATTTTTCAGTCTTAGCTTAGTCTTCTTTGAAGTGAAGATCCTTTTGTAAACCATGTGATTCTGATATTGGTTTACACAAAAAGAATTACTATCTCTATTATCATTATTCACTGAGGTGAAAAAGTCAGCACTCAGCAGGGCATAGAGGTGTTGAACAAATGATGCCCAGTGAGCATGCCCATGTCATTCAGTGTCAAAGGAACTGCAAAATGTCAATGTCAAGAAACCTTGCATGGATGTTTACAAACCGCACATGGAAGGCGTTGGCCAAGCAGATCAACTCCATTGTTTTTATTTTACAGGTTCTTCTTCCCTTAAGTGATATCGATACAATGCAGTCTCTATTAGCTAAATCCTTTTACTAAAACAACTCTTCAGCTTCATTTAAGCCTTCTTTATTCTGTTTCAATTGCCTCTTAAATTTGTTTACCATGTATAATTTGATTTTGCCTTTAAATTTCATGAGAATGCTGATTGAGCCACAAGAATGACGAGGTTAGGCCTAAATTGTACAAAGTAGTAATGGGGTGAAATATATAAGTAAAGCCCTGGAGTACTATCAAACCTTCCTTGAACACAATGGGCATCCTGTCAAGACCTTGGCCTGGTGGAAAAGAAAGTGGCCACTTAGTTTGAAGCAGTTTACATTCTGTTTTAACCAATGGTTTTGTTTAATCATCTCAAAAGATTCTTTCAGCATAATAACTTCCAACTTTGATTTTTTTTCTTAGCTGTTAGCACCTCCTCGTTATACCATACAAATAATAAGAACATATTCAGGCATGGAAGAAAATACTGTCAGTTTGGTTATTGGTATGACACCTAAGGAAATTGAGCCAGAGACCACAGTGGAGCTGTGAGAGGCCTGTCTGAGGCAGCCATCTCTAAGAGAAACAAAGTTGTGGTGGACAACATCAAAAAAATTAGACAAAGATTCTTCAAGTGTTTCTCAAGTATAAGAAATGATGGCACAATTTTAGGATGAAATCGTGCAACAGGTTATTGGTTATTAATTACCTATTTTGATATATTTAAAGTCCACCTAAATTAATAGGGAGGCCCATAAAACATTACTCCACCGACAGTGTCTGTGACAAGTTCACTATGAGATGACTAACAAGTCACTTGGGAGTGTATTGCAGTCTGTTCTTTAGAGAATATAAGTTGTCTAAGTTCTTAATTGATGGATTGTTAAGGATCATCACGAGAGAACTTCAGCCTAAAGTATTCTTTTCTAGAACTGTACCATGCACAGGTATCTTTAGAAAGGGCAGGAGAAACAATGAACTTTTGTAGCCATCTCTGTGCATGTCTGCAGCACTCTTGCTCAAGAACACGTTTCCATGTATAATAGCAATGCAGTTGATAACTACTATCATTTTGTATCATTCAGGAATTACTTGAGTGTCAATCACTTTGCGTATACTTTTTTAGCAATCTATAAATCTAAACTCAGTTCATTATGACAGATCATTTCTGTCTTCATAGCTACATGACTCTTTTATGCACACATTTGGGTGTTTGCTGACTAAGATGCTTACAAATTCATTAGACATTTAACTTTCAAACCAAATTATTAAAAGGAGAGTATTGTACAGATTTTGAGATTGACAAGGCCCCCAAACTATTGTGCTGATAATCATAGGGGTATCCGCGGGTTTCGCCCATAACGAGTTTCGCCCAAGAAGCGTTTCGCCCATAACGAGAATGGTTTCGCCCAGGCATAAATTCGATTCGCCCAGACTGACAGTCAGTGATTATCCAGGCTAAGGGCCTCTTTAGACATATGCTTTAGATGAGCCCGGTAACCGGGCTTTTGTTTTCTGTTCATACAATGTTCATACACGACTTTCGTAATGGCGGACGTAGCGCGGGGCCTGACCTTCTTGTCTGGGTCGCACAGGTTGTTTGCAAGTTATACAACAGTCGTTTGAACACATTTTTTTGGACGAGACACGAGAAATTTCGTATGGCGGGTTTGTATGGCGATCTATGATCGAATGACTCTCGTGATCGGTATTAACCCCTTTTATACTGGAATAAGGGGCGGATTTTTTTATTGTTAGTCGGCATGTCAACTGAGAAAGGCGGACAACAACATCTTATAAAACTTGTTAACAAATTGTAATTAGGACCGCGCGTCTATTCATAAACAACACAATTACTATTGGTATTCAAATTACATTTGACTTCACTTTGGAAACAATAGCGTGCCAAGTAAACTTCAGTTTTCTTTTCAAATTCTATTGACAAGTGAAAAGGTGAGATTTTTTTGGCCAGTGTAAACAACGGTTCTTTTCAAGTTCTATTGACTAGTGAAAAGGTGAGATTTTTTTGGCAGGAGTGAACTTCGGTTCTTTTCAAATTCTATTGACTAGTGAAAAGGTGAGATTTTTTTTGCAAGAGTGAAAATCTATTGATAAGCGAACAGGTGAGATATTTTTGCAGGAGTAAGCTTTTCAAATTCTATTGATAAGGTTTGATTGAGATTTTTTGTGCAAGACGGTAATTTCCTTTAAGTTAAAGCTTTCGTACCGCACGCTTCGTCGGAGTAGTAAAGCTATTCCACGCGCGCGCACTCATGAACTTGACTAGTTTCTATCTCTTTTCCAATTATATGTTGCCGTTACCTATGTCAGAAATACAATCTTCAACTCTCGATTCCTTTGTTTTAGTATTCACGAAACCGTATTCACATGTATTCATAAGCTGGCGTGCGGAACTTATCTTCCGTGTACAAAAGATTTGCAACGATTATATGTTCCACGCGCAAGTGTTTTCAAAAGCGTTTAATTTAATTCTCGAGAAGAAAAGTGATGCAAAAAAATCATAGCAATGCTTTTACGACAAACGGACGTCTCTGCAGTATTTCGTGCGCGAATTACCTTAACAATCCCCGCTCCACAGTGAAAGCTATAATTGACTTGTTCGTTTCAACAGTAACTTGTTCGTTTCAAAATTTCATGATCTCAGGTCAAGTCACTTTTCTTCATTCTGTGCATACAAACGTTTATAAGGTTGACGTTTTCCGAGTGAGAGTGTAGAAGTTTTACTTATGGGCGAAACCTTTATTGTTCTGGGCGAAACCTTTATTGTTCTGGGCGAAACCATTCTCGTTCTGGGCGAAACGATATGTGCGAAACTCGTTATGGGCGAAACCCGCTATAACCATCATAGGCCACATTTCTTTGCCTTAAGTGTTTACAAAGTCTCATCAAACGCTGATTGATGCCAAGCATCTCTTTGTCTACTGGATTCCCTCAGAGCACCTAAATAGGATTCCCACTACAGTTATGAAATGCTAGATGAATTTGGAAACACTCTGTGGTCTCTATCAAGAAGGTACAGAATGATACAACACTACTTCAAAAAAACATTAGGCAACAACTGAGGCACCATCTGCCATCAGTTCTCCTTTCATGAATGAAGGCCATTTAGAACAGTCTGTCATTGTGACAAAGGAGGTATTTGGTTATCAACAACTTTGACTTCAGGTAACAGGTACCCAGTATGACTGAATTGCATCATACATATAGATTTCCAGTCTGGGCCATTTCAATCATTGCTTATGCAACTTTGGTGGCTCCTAGTAAAGCTATTTTTGCTCCTAGGCATAAGCCTGTATTTCTTGCTGTTTAGTGGCATTAACCATTCTTTTATAAGAGACCGTTTAACCAACAGGGAATCTCCATTCCACTAAATATTTGTTTACAGTTTTGCTTGCCCCTAGTCATGTCAACAGCAGTCCACCACAAGAGAAAACATACACAATCTGGAGAAATTTCTGATAAAAGGGAATGTTACATGCATCCAGTACCCCTTCTCCTGATAAAATATCTGGTCTTTTAAGCTTCAGTTTGGTATCTTGGCCCAAGACTCTGTAGCAAGTTATCAAATAAAGAAAGATCGGCCATCAGTCTCAAGCAATTCAAGACACAGATGCGCAGGCTTGAATTCAGTCAACAACTTAGATGGATGGATGTAATGGCTGCTATT